CAGCTCGTTTTGTACCCTCATGCTGTGTGTACCTTCCTCTGGTCATTTTTACCCTCTTCAAGTTATTCTGTACACTCATTAGGTCGTTTTGTACCCTCATGTTGTTTTGTAACCTGGTATGATCGTTTTATACCTACCTTTTGTCATTTATGTACCCTCTTCAGGTCGTTTTGTACCCTACTCATGTTTTGTACCCTCCTCAGGTCGATTTGTGCGTTCTTCATTGTTTTGTACCCTCCTCATGTTGTATTGTACCCTCCTTTGGTCGTTTTGTAAGTTGTTTCATACCATTCGTAGGTCAATTTGTACCCTCATCATTTTGTACCCTCCTTAGATCATGTTTAACTCTCATCAAGTTGTTTTGTAGCATCCTCAGGTTGTTTTGTACCCTACTCATGTTTTGTACTCTCTTCATGTTGTTTTGTACACCCCTTAGGTTGAATTGTACCCTCCCTAGATCATTTTATACATACCTAATGTCGTTTTGTGCCATCCTCAGGTCATTGTGTCCCTTCCTCGGGTCATTTTTCACACTCCATGGTGTTTTGTACCCTCCTTAGGTCGATTTGTACCTTTCTCATCGTTTTGTACCCTCCTCATGTTGTATTGTGCCCTTCTTTGGTAGTTTAAGTTGTTTCATACCATTCGTAGGTCAATTTGTACCCTCCTTAGATCATGTTTAACTCTCCTCAAGTTGTTTTGTAGCATCCTCGGGCCGTTTTGTACCCTTATGTAGTTTTTCACCCTCATGTTGTTTACCTTCCTCTGGTCATTTTATCCTCAGGTGGTTTTATACGTGCTTCAGCGGCTGCTGCAGGTATCAGATTTAATTTGTTGGAGGACACTTTAGAAATGAAAACGGACAGATTTTACTCAGGTTTTAATCCATTTCATTTTTTCATCGGGGTTGGTTTTTGACCTGGACCTCCACTCAGAGCCCGATCAGGTTCTTTAAACATTCAGAACCAGTGTGTACCCGTCACTCTTCATCACTTAGAACTGAGCTCCTCCTCTGGAAACCTCCTTCTGGTCTTTTTGATTCATTTACTCCAGAAGCCGCTTTGAGCTGATTGGGGG